GCATATAATATATAATGTTGTAGTAAAAGGACCCACAAAGCAGGCAGCCGGCTGTGGAGCATCGATCCTCAGCCCCTTTGTTCAAACTGGGTCACCTACTGTTCCTGGTTATTATTTTATCACAGTCATTCCTCATGTAAGGTGACAGGAGAGCATCTAACCCACTGGGTTCTAGGGACAGCCACCCCCACCCCCCTTATTTAGTGCAAGGCCAGGTCCCTTCCTGACTCTGGCTCTGAAAGCATTTCAAGTCCCATGATAGCCCTGCCAGTTCCAAGTAGATCCCAGGAGGGGCAGTGTTGTCAGGACAAGAGCCACTTCTCAAGCATGGCAAAGGCCCAGGAACCCTAGTGTTGAGGCAATGAGCCCTAATAAGCAGTCCCCACACCTCATTTCCTAGGCAGCTCAAATGAATTTGGCCAGATGACCTTGAGCGACAAATCTCTCCTGTTAGGCTGCCTGCTGCCCACCTTGCTTCTGTGGTCTCCGTACCACTCTCTGAACTTCTCCACGTCAACAGGACAGGGAGTGCAGTGGCTAGCATCTGGACAAAGGGAGTTTGTAAGGAAAACATGTCCCTAAGTCATTTTTCTAATGATCTGGGTCATTCTACCATTTTTTTAAAAAATGAGGTCACTTTCAAGGGTACCAATGAAAGTAAGAAAACTTTGTGAAACAGAAAAAGTTGAAAAGTAAGCACTTTAAAATTAAAGAGCCAAGAGAAATATAAAAGATTATGTAGCTAAGGTAAAAGGGGAAAAAATAGCACTCAAAGTTTTATGTAGTCACTGAAATTGTTCTGGGCTTCCTGGAGGCCAAAGGAAAATAAGAAACACGATTCATCGCAAAGGTCTTGAAAGAAAACACAGACCTGCTCCTTAGAAGAAATAAGACTTTCTTTGCATAGACCTTAGGTAGGTTATGCTGTGGCCGACATCCTTCATGACATCCTCCCATGGGAGGGACAACTTCAAGAAGGTCCCTACATTGGAAATTGGGGTCATGAACAAGGACTTCCAAATTATATGGACCAAATATGATGTTCACTGATGGGTGGCTTCTTTCACAGATGAGACCTAGACATTGAAAGAATGTAAAGACTGGGCCTCCCTGGTGGCCGAGGGGTTAAGCCTCAGTGCTATAACTCAGTGCTGTGGCCTGAGTTTAATCCCTGGCCAGGGAGCTAACCCACATATGGCACAACAGACCTCTTCTGTCTTGACCACTGCTCCCCTTAGCAGTGTATTTCAATCGGCTCACCTGTTCTGCTCCCCACTCTGTCTCTGAGTTCTCTCACCTCCCACACCTCTGGCCTACACCCCAGTTCTCTTATGCAAAGAAAAAAATTGCCAAGACTAAATGCAAAGACTAACCTCATCTCCAAATTATTCTCCATGCAAAGTGTTTGTTTCAGCTCTGCTTTTGTCAGAAGCTGTGAAGCATATCATTTGAAGCTCTTGTTTCAAAGACCTGAAATGCAAGTGTTGCAAGTAACTGAGAATTGGATCTAGATGCAGAAATCATGGAGCATCTATACAGTGGAATACCATGGAGTCATCAACAGGAATAAGAAAGATGCTATCTTACCTCAGGAAAAGTTGTGTAAGATATATTGTTAGGTTTAAAAGAAAAACAAGTTTCAGTACAGTAGATAAGGTATGATATTGCTGTATTACAAATTAAATAATAATACATGGGTATAGGAAATTTTTGGAAGGATATGTAAAAAATTGGTGGTGGTGTTTAAGCACAGGTGAGAGAATTTTATTTTACCTGACTTTTACTATAATTACATATTACTTTTGAATTGGAAAAATAATTTGTTAATCAAGTCAATCATTCTTTGGTTAAAAAGAATGAAGCAGATCCGTATTACTGAAAAAATAACATTTGAAGGGAGGATCTGTATAAATATAGATCAAATGTCTAAAAGTGGTTCTCCTGGGGAACTAAGATTAGAACAAATTTTCACCTAAGTTAATCATTTCTGTAACATTTTTACAGTAAGTAGGTGTCACTTTTATAAAATAATTTTAAAAACATGTTAAGTCAACCTGGGGGGCTGTCAGGTTGACTACCTTTTTGAAAATAAGAAAACTAATCAAGATCTATTCACATGAATGACCAGCCTATTTCTGTAGGGCAGTGACCAGAAGAGAGACTGCAAGCAAGACAAGAAATTTTCTTCTTTTTTTTTTTTTTTAAGATTTATTTTATTTCTACAAGAACTGGGGTATAGGCCAGAGCATGGGAAGGTGAGAGAATTCACCAGAGACTGAGCGGGGAACAGAACAGGCAGACAGACTGAAATACACTGTTGAGGGGAACAGTGGGCGAGACAGGAGAGGTCTGCTGTGCCATGTGGGACTCTCCCTGGCTGGCAGGGAATCAAACCTGCGCTGCAGAGGCTGCAGACGGCTTTGCAGCCCTGCGCTCAACCCGCTGTACCACCGGGGAGGCCCAGGACAAGAAATTTTCTTAAGGAAACGGTTGTCTATTCTGGCACACAAATCGATGGATGGTCTTGGCATTAACATCCTGGCTTCATGGAGCACGGATGCTTGCCTGGGAAGGTGCTGGCAGTACAATTCAGAGGCTGGTGTGCTTTTGAAAAAAGCACATTTAGGGATCCCCGGTGGCGCAGCGGTTGAGCGCTGGGTTGCGAAGCTGCCCGCAGCCTCTGCAGCGCCGGTTCGATCCCCGGCCGCTGGGCAAGGGTCCCGCATGGCGCGCAGACCTCTCCTGCCGCCCGCTGCTCCCCTCAGCAGTGTACTTCGGTCCTTCTGCCTGCTCTGCTCCCTGCCCTGGCTCTGGAGAATTCTCTCACCCTCCTGTGCTTCTGACTGTACCCAGTGCTTGTATGTATAAATGAATAAATAAATCTAAAAAAAAAAAGGAAAGAAAGAAAAAAGCACATTTAAAAAATGCTGTTGTTCCATGATAAGATATGTTTAAGCTACTAATTCCTTTTTAACAATTTTAGCTATTTCTTTCTCCTTACCTTTCCCCACCCCCAGACCCTTCAAACTAGGCTGTTCTATGCTAGGTGCCACAGGGAAGAGATGGGACAGCAGAAAGAGAAACAAAAGGCTCATCTGCCTTCTGACTTTCAAAGGGGTAGGAGAAGAGAAAAAAAGAATAATCTTAGAGAATATCTCACTCCCAACACTAGAGAATGGGGAAGTGGGAGGATGAGCTGTGGGGAGGCTGTGAGGACTGGGGTGACCCTGCTGGAGCAGAGGCAGCACCCGGGAAACTGAGCTTCCAGAAGAGAAGCTGAATCAGCACCTCTGGCCCATAGTGTCCACTTGAGGGCTGGGCTGTACATCAAGAAAGATCTGGAGCTCTGCAGAGCTTTGGGAAGGAGCTAACACAATCCCCACCCCACTCTGTGCACCTGCTTGTCTTTTCTCTCACTGCCAAAACTGCTCCACAGTCTGTGTGTCTGAATGTGACAGCTTTCAGATCACATGTCCTTGACTGAACACCTAAAGTCACACCTATGTCTTTCACAGTTCTCCTCCCCCTGTATTCCTGGGCCATTGTAACTGGCTCAGTGAGGGTCGGGTATCCATTTGGTCCCAGCTCTGGACCACTCTGCTGTGCTTGGGGTGGGCGTAACCCTGTATTAAATTTGCAGTTATCTGAGGACCATATGGCCATGCATTGGGGTGGCAGAGTTTAGAGGAAAGGGATGGATGGGGTAGAAGGTCACTGAGAAAATCAGGTCCATTTTCCTTAGGTTGCTCATGGAGGGCCAGGAAAATTCCATCTCTCTCAGTAGTTGCCCCAACTATTGTTTTACCTCCTACTGCCTGGCAACTGTCCATTCAACATGACTGCCTACATCACTTAGTGTTTTCTCCTTCAATTAAAGGAGTTTTTACTGTCTGTTTTTCTGATTACAGATGCAGCAAAAGAAAGATAGACTTGTATTTGCCAAGAAACGTGAATTTGCTGGATTTACAAAATCAGAAATGACGTGGTCCAGAGGGAGAGAGACAAGTCACTTAGTGGCGTTTGCACTGAGCGGTGTGATCGGGCTTGTTTACTCAACTAGAGGGAGGCTCTTCAGGCAGAGACCTGGCTCCCCACTGCATCAAAATAGCCGTTAGCTTCTCAGCAGACACTTGTGGGCCTCAGTGAGCAACACCGCTCTGCCACAGCCTGGCCCAGGTAGCTGGGAAATCCATTCATCCTAGAACAGGGTTGTTAAAGGGGTTCACTCCAAAAATGGAATGCTCACTGCAAATCTATCATGACTGGATGAGAGTAGATGGGTGTTTTCAGAGTGACTGCACTTCGGGGTTAAGTTGCTGTGGGTGACAACCCCACTACTCAGGCCCAGGTTTCCTGGATCGTGTTCATGTTCTTGGGTCCCCATGGTACCCTGAGCACTTTTCTACTCCTGCCTCCTTAGATCTTCTCACATCTGCCCAATAGAGAAGACAACACCTTGTCTTGTTCATCCTTGTCGCCCCTTGTCGTCAGCTTAACGCAGTGCCTTAGGCCAGTAGGGGCTTGATGAACATTAGGTAAAAGGAAGTGAAGAAGAGAGGGAAAATGAAAGAAGGTAAGGAACCAACCCACTCGCCCCAGTGGGACGACAGAACTCCTTCCCATGTCCATGAGAGGATTTGGAAGCCCTGCGTTCTGTGTGTGACTTGGCACAAGATTCTCAAATGTAAAACATGGATAGGAATGTCCCACTTTACAGGATCATTTCAAAGTTTATAAAGAGTCTCTAAGTGAGTGGGCATCAAACAGTAGTTGGCATGAAAGGTCATACTTAAATGTAAAACAGTTTCATCTTTCAGAACTTCCTGCTCATTTCCATCTACCCACATTTCTCTATCTCTATCATGTCTACCTTTTCATGCCAGGTTGAATGTCGCTGTCAGCAGAAGGGCATGTGAGCCCCACAAGGAAACCTGTGGCTTTATGAACTGATACTGCTTTGGTTGTCCACAGGGACTTTGCATATGCTGAAATGTATGTCCCATTAAGTAATATCAGATGGTAAGTCACATTGTGTCTTTTTTAAAAAAATAATTTATTTATTTATACAAGCACTGGGTACAGTCAGAAGCACAGGAGGGTGAGAGAACTCACCAGAGCCAGAGCGGGGAACAGAACAGACAGAGTGATGAAATACACTGCTGAGGGGAGCAGCGGGCTTGGCAGGAGAGGTCTGCGCGCCATGTGGGACCCTCGCCAGCTACCGGGGATTGAACCAGCGCTGCAGAGGCTGGGGGCAGCTTCGCAGTCCAGCGCTCAACCGCTGCGCCACCAAGGGAGGCCCCACATTGTGTCTTGTTCTCTGCTCGAAAGGCTTCCCATCCCACTCGGGGTCATGGCCCCCTATTACCTTTCCAACCCTTTCCTGCTATTTATCCTCTCCCATTTTCTCTAGCTGTGTTGCCCTCCTGGCTGTGAGGCATGCTCTGACCCCATGAGGTTTGCACCGGCTGCCCCTCTTCCTATAATACTCTCCCACCGGATCACTCGTCACACCGTCAGGTTTTCACACAGAGGTCAGTGAAGCCTTTCTTGGTACCCCACCCCCATTTAAAATAGCAAAGCTCCCCTGACACTGCCTATCCTGTCTATTTCGGCATCTGTTACCATTTGACACACCACATCTTTTATTTATTCACTGCTTATCTTTTTCCATTGAAATACAGGCTCCTCCACGGAGACTTTTGCCTGTTTTATTATCTACTATATCCCAATACCTGCAAAAGAATCTGGCATGAAATAAACACTCAATATATTTTTGTTGAATGAATGAACATGTTTGTGTGCTTTACAGATAGGTGGAACTGGACAAAGCACATCTATTTGTGAACCCAATGACAAATTGATGTCAACCCATGGAGAAGGAGCAACAAAAGGCCTCAGGTTTGGCTAGAATCTCTAACATTGCTGCTAGGCCAAGGTAGTACCTGGGCTCTCTCTTGGCACCCCAGTTTGCTCCTGGGAACTGCTGTCTGTCTGTTCACTGAGAGCCCAGCTCAGTCCCTGGGACATGACAGAATTGAAACTCGGTAAATGTGCCAAGGGCCCAGGGTGTAGGAACCGAGGGGAGGTGGCCTGCACCTTTGGACACAGGGGAAAGCCATCTCCAGATAGACGTTTTCATCTGCCTCTTGCCTCAGTACTTAGCATTGACCAGAGTCTCCCAAATTGAATTCTATAGAACCCCAGTGCTAGAAAAAAGGTTCTATAGTCAGACAAGTTTGGGAAATGCTGGGTTAAATAAAGTTAAATAGGTTTCCTGACTTCAGGACTCTTAAGAGCCCTTAATATGTAAGTAGAAATTATATATGCAAGAGGGGCTCTATGTTTTGAAAACTTTTCCACACTTAATGTGGCCAAGGAATCCATTTTTTTCCTGGGAGAACAAGGGTTCTACAAAGTACTCTTTGGGGAACACTGGCATAACCTCATATCCACCGTGATGGAAGGGATTTAGGAGGGAATCCAGTGCAGCCCTCCCTTTCTCGCAGAGCTGGCAGGAGGGGAAGGCACAGGAGGAAGAGAAAGACAGCAGGGAACACAGCAAGGCAGAGCTGGAGCTGGCGTGCAGTTGCCTCTGGCCCCCAGACACATGCATCTTGGAGGTCTGACCTGTGGGGCTCTGAAGCCTGGCTTACCAAGGCTGCTTTGCTCACTTGCACTCTCAAAGTCACAGAAATTTCGAACAGGGAGGGCCTCAGTGACATAGAAGTCCCACTTTGGACTGTTTCTGTTCCCAGCTTCAGCCACAACCTAACTCTGGGTCTGATACTCATGACTGGAGTGTAAAATGATCCCCACCTACACCTCTCTCCCTTGCCCCCTATAGCCCCTGACTGGCTTAGGTGTTTCTGCCCCCAAAATCTGGTTCTCAGTGTGTGTTCCCAGGACCAGCAATACCAGCACCAGCTGAGACCTTGACAGAAATGCATTCAGACTTCTGCTTTCTGTGTTTTAATAAAGCTTCCAGGTGCTTCTGGCTCACGCTAAAGTTTAATAACCACCTCCCTGAACCACACTAACTCAGACCTAGCATTTCCAGGGAAAGGCCTTTCCTTGGCCCCCAATGAACAGAGCAGCCAGCTGACAAGGCTCTTAGTAAGGATGATGGGAAATGCTGGACACAAAATCTTTAGCGATTCCTACAGCTCAGTGGGTTCCAACCACTTGAAACCTGGTGCTACCTAAACCCTGATGTTAATTTACACTCTGCATCATTTCATTAGTTGTTCTAATCGATGGATGTGACTTTACAAACATAGACCTTGACTGGAGAGTTTTTCAGACTCCAAAAGCCAAACCTATGAAATAAATCTTGGTAGAAGAAAGTGTAGGTACAAAGCCTGTTTGGGGTGACGCTGCAAGTGTCTGGGCCTGCCTTAGTCTACTTAAATGGAGATGGAGTCTTTTCATTATATCAAGAGAAGTGCTTCAAATGAGTTCGATAGCTCAATTCTGGTACATGTTCTTTCAAAATCCATCTGTTTTCTGGATTTCCTACTGATAAAGTCTGGGCATGTGGGCACGACACAATGGTCACTTCGGAGTAGCTGCACTGGGGATCCCATTGTCTGAAGCAAGGTCTTCATGGCAGAAAATGGTGGCCCTGAGATCCCCACCCTCTCTGATCAGGAGGACAACATCTTTCCTATGCCCATAGGCAGGTTGGCTAGGATGTCGTTGGGGGGCTGTCAGCTTGCCATCGAGATATGTCCTGACAGCCTACGTGGTGCATCTCCTGTCACAAACTTGCTCCCAGTGCTTCTGTGATCCTGGGGAGGGTGTGGGTGATTTGGGCAGCCCCTCACTCACCCACTCACTCACTCAGCTTGGGCAGAGTGTGGGCTGTTATGGCAGCCTCCATCCATCCTCGTCATTCAGGGGCCTCTAAAGTATGCCTGTCAATATAATGCACGGCCTGTTGAGGGGAAGTGACATTTTGAATAGTGGACACTTTTCCAGGAGCATTCATCCTAGGTCAGCCTCATGATAAATAAATACATTTGGCATCTGAAGTCAGCAGGCAGGATACGACGACGGAAGTGCAAGCCCAGATACGCATTCCATAAGCTGGAATTGACAGGGTGGAGGTAGGCTGTGAGAGCAAGGGGGAGAGGGATGGCTTTCAGAACAAACAGATTTGGGGGAGAATTTATTCCCCTTCTTCTTGGCACCTCTAAGGACCAGGAAGCTGCAATTTCCTTTCATCCCCGAACCACAGAGGGTCCTTTCTTTCTGTCACCCCTTGTGCTCCTCACCTGTCTCCCCCTAAAAAAAAACAACAAAAAACCAGTCCTGATCTTAATTACCACTAACAGTGCCCTAAACAAGTATTTATAAGGCTTACTGCGTTTGTCTTCCCGTTCCTATTAATAAAGTCTGGGAATGTAGGGAAGAAATATGGGTGGGTGACAGGGTTTTTAATGGCGCCTCACCTTAAATGCATTTTAAAATATGTAAATCAATAAAAAAATTATTTGTAATAGCAGCCTAAGAGTGCTGGTTAGCCTGGCGAGGAGTGAAATGCATGCTACAAGCCCTATTACCATACATCCTGGGAGCTGTAGTTAGGATTAATCTGTCAAAGGGGATGGTTTAGTGTTGATGAATATGACATGTGACCATTAACGATGTTGATTTTATCTCCCGAGATTAGCATGATTTACTTCGGATGGATAATAATGTCATTTGCTTGATGCAGTAGATCTGTTTACGAGCTGATTAAATTGTAAGGCCTTGCCTCATTTCATGCTATTTGGTTTACAGCTTCATTACCACAATCACAAAAGCTGGGGAAATGTCCCACATTCCATGTCACAATAAATCATTGCTTCACGTTGCCGGGATGGATTTTAGCAGGTCTGCCCAGCAAGGACCATTCTTAGCTCCCCACTAATCTGTGATCCAGAATACATTAGGGGGATCTTCGAGAACACTGGAATGAGAGGGGGCAGGAATCCTCTCAGATCTTTTAATTGAGATTAAGGAAGTCCTTGAGTAATTAGCTGTAACAAATTACCTTATTATTTAGACAGTGAAGTCACTGTTTTTGTTGCAGGGATGATCACCATAAATATGCAGAAAAATGACACTCCAGGAATTAAGGGAAGCTTGGAAGAAAATTTCATTTGCACCCCATTTTCCTTTGCTCTGGAAGAGGGATAATCTGAATGTGAGGTGTGTAGGGGGTGTGTGCACTAGGTCCACGACCCTTCCATGCTTCTTTGAGGTAGTGTGAGGAGGTGTGCATTGCACACCCACACCAAAACACCATGACTCTGGCTGGGACGTGACTGAAGCAGAAGGAAGAAAGGACAGCGCCTGGCACCTGGATAGGAAGAGAAGTGTGGAAAGCACCCACCTGTCCACTCCAGGCCGACTCTGTTCCCAAATTGGCCTGAGCTGGCTGTGCTACTCTGTGTGTGGAGGACAGGGTAGGGACATCAGATGGAAAAACTAGGATTGTTTATCCCCTCCAAAAGCTGGGGGAGACTGAAAACACAGGCCTGAAATGACTGTCTAAGTTTCTTTATTTTTTTATTGGGGTAATATTACAAAACCATAGATATCAGGTGTACATTTTCTTACCTTGGCAACTGGTTTACCCACCACACCTGCCATCCACCACCCACCGAGCACCCCACTCTACCTGTTCCAGGTCCTCCTTCCCCTCTGGTAAATGCCATTCAGTTGTCAGAATCTAAGGGATTTTTTTTTTTTGGTTGTTGTTCGTTTGCTTTGTTTATATTCCATAAATGTGTGAAATCATATGGTGTTTGTCTTTCTCCTTCTGACTTATTTCACTTAACACAATCAAGGTCCAGCCCTGTTGTTGTAAATGACAATGTTTCCTCTTTTTTAATAGCTGAGTATTATTCAACCATCTACATTTCTAATTACACCAGAGTTTGAGTTCTTACTACTGTTAGGTGCTGTTCTCATCACTGACACAGCCTTGGGAGGTTGGTATTATTATTCTCATCCCATATTATAGAGGAGGAAACTGAGGTTCAGGGAGAAGGTTCAATGATGGATGTGCCCAAGGTCACAGAGCCAGGCAGTGACTGCACTGGATGTGAACCCTGGTGACAGGGCTTGGGGCAGTCATGGTGCCTATAGCTGCTGGTGCAGAACTTGCTATTTGACTCAGGGGTAGGCCATTGCCATGATGGGACACAGAGAGGGAATTTCCAGGACTTTTGTTTCCTCCTCCTGAATTGATTCCCAGGACTCTGAATGGATTCTTTCTACAGAGAATTTGGGATCCACAGTAATCAAGAGCACTGAAGTTAGGTCTAGAATGGGGAAATTGGCAAGATTGTGTGCAGAGCAGAATCCTGGAAGATGTAAGATTATGCTTTGTTAAGGTAAGGCCTTTGGAAACAGAAATCAATCATTCCAAAGGGCAAAGGTGGCCTCTTCCTGCTTCTCAGCTCAGCATCTCTCTAGTACACCAGTGGGCAAAGGGAAGCTCTTGTGGCCCTCTGCAAGCTCTGCAGATGAGGTGATTCCATTTCAAAGCTCCCTGTGTTCTCACCTCTGCACTTGAGACAAGGCCCTTAAGTGTCTGCATCCCTTAGTCAAGGCTAACAGAGCCCACAAGGGACCCCCACCCCATGACCATTCTTCAGTTTTTTCCCCCCACACTAGAACCCTGATTTGTAATTGATTTTAGTAAAATTAAGACTTCATTTCCCAGCCTCTCTTGTAGATGGGTGGACTAGATGACTAATACTGTAGTCGTTTATTGAACATCTACTCTGAGCCAGGCCCTGTGCTAAGTGTTAGTCAAGATAAAGATATAAGGTGCAAACCCTGTCCTCTGCTGCTAGTCTGCCAGCCTGAGCGTCAGTCATTCATCAGGCTCTCTGTTGAGTACATGCTTGACCTGTCAGTTTGTCAGCAAGTCAACTACTTGATCAGTGGATGGATCTTCACTCTGGTAGGCGTTGGTCCCAGTATTGAACTCTCAGAGTGCTTTTGGGTCACAGTCTTGGCGGGTGTAGAATTTGATGCCAAGAATAGGGATAAAGTCCCAAGAACACCATATAAATGAACTCCAAATGGGTTAAAGACTTAAATGTAAGGCTGGCTTGATGCTGTACAACTCTGAGAAGAAAACACAAGGAAAAAAACTCCTCGAAGTTGTCTTTTTAAAAGCTATGACACCAAAGCACAGGCAACAAAGGCAAAAATGGACAAATGGGATTATATCAAAATAAGTTGTTTCTGTGTAGCAAAGGAAACAATCAGCAAATGAAACAGAAGAAAATATTTGCAAGCCATATATATATGACAAGGGGTTACTATCCAAAATATAGAAGGATTTCATACAACTCAATAGCAGATCCACCCCCCCCCAGGACCAAAGAACCAAACAAAAAAATCCCCCACAAACAACCTGATTAAAAAATGCTCAAAGGACCTGAACACATAATTTTCAAGAGAAGGCATACAGATGGCTACCAGGCACACACAAAAAAAGGTGCTTGAAATCATTCATTAACAGGGAAATGCAAACCAAAGCTACACTGAAATATCACTTCACATTTCAAAAAGATGACTATTTCAAAAAGATGAGATAACAAGAGTTGGCAAGGGTATGGAAAAAAGAGAACCTTTGTACACCATTGGTGGTAATGTAAATTGGTACAGTCATCATGGAAAATAGTATGAAGGGTCGTCAAAAAATTAGAAACAGAACTACCAGCAGAACAAAACAGAACAGTAGCAATCCCGCTTCTGGGCATATATTCAAAGGAGATGAAACAGTATCTCAAAAAGATATCTGCACTCCCATGTTCATTGCAACATTATTCACAATAGCCAAGTCCTGGAAGTAAACTAAGTGTCCGTGCATGGGTAAAAGGATAAAGAAAATGTGGACACACACAAACACACATACTGGAATATTATTCAGCCATAAAAGAAAGAACCCTGCCATTTGCAACTACACAAATGAGTCTGGAGGACATCATGCTAAATGAAATAAAGCAGACACAAAAGAATAAATACTACATGGTAACACTTTTATGATGAACCTAAACTAGGCAAACTCATACAAGCGAAGATTAGATGGTGGTTGTCAGGGACCGGGGAAGGAAGATAGGGGGAGATGGTGGTCAAAGTGCACAAACTTAAAAAGTTATAAGGTGACTCATTCTGGGGACCTCATGTACATCATGGTGATTATAGCCAATAATATCACATTGTATACTTGAAATTTGCTTAGAGAATAGATCTCAAGTGTTTTCACCACATACATGTATATTTGTCTAAAAAGAGTGTGTGTGTGTGTGTGTGTGTGTGTGTGTGTGTAAATCAACATACCCAGCAGTCCACTCTTCATAGTTGTTCAGGAGGCCGCAAAACTTTCAGGAAGAGGGCCGCTGAACAGAGCTGCTCTGGTTCCCTGGCACCTGGAAAGCCCGTGGAGCTTACTGCAGAGAAAGCTCAGCTCCGCCTTGGGGGTGTGAGATGGTCTGCTCTGGGAATGTCCTTTGTTGGGGATGGACTGCAGGGCCAAGCCAAGGCCCAGCCTGAGGTGGGGGGGGGGTGGACAGAGAGGTGGCCATCTAGAGGGTCCACAGACCAACAGGAAAAGAGAAGTATGGGGATTGGCAAAGTCAACCTGGGGTCACCCTTTTCTGTATGGTTTGTGCCATTCTCCTGGGATAGGAAAAGGGATTTTGGCCTGTTATCCGTTACCTATTGTTACAAGAAAAAGAAGCCAAAATTTAGTGATTTAAAACAATACCAGCATTAATTTTGTTCCTGAATAGCCAATTTGGGTGGGGTTTGTGGTAGGATTTGTCACTGCCTCACTCAGGACAGCCCAATGGCGGGGGCTGGAATCTTCTGAGGCACGTAATCCTATGAGGGCAGTTGGTGTCACTGTTGGCTGGGGTTTCTGCTAGGATTGTTGCTAGAACATCATACATGGCCTATCCCTGTGGACGCCGGGTTTCCTCATAGCATGGTGACTGGTTTCCTAGGGTGAGCTCCCAGAGGAGGTGGGATGGCCTCCTCAGAAGTCACAAAGCATCACACATTGTGGTGGTGCTCTGGCCACAGCCCTGGCCAGACTCAAGGGGAGGGAATGCAGACCCCACCTGCTGAGGAAGGAGGGTTGACTTCATGGTGTAAGGATCCGCAGCTGCCCAGACAAAGCTGCATCTCACAGCCCGGGTGTGGCCCGCTGGCCAGGACCAGGTGACTTCCTCACTAGTTCAAAGGGACATACTTGCCTTGTGCTGCCTCCTTCTCCCCTTCCCGTGGGTGGGATTAGTGCCCATGTTTGATCATACCAATGAGTACAAAATCCTGGGGGATAAAGAAACATCAAGATGGGTGCCTGAGTGACTTCCTCGAGCAGAGCAGGTTCATCAGCCTCTGCATAACAGAGACCCGAGAGAAATGTCTATATGATTTAAGTCACTGTAGTGGGGGGCGGGAGGGCTGTCTGTTACAGCAACATATCCTATTGCCACAGGCTGTAGACCTCAGGATCATATTTTACTTTCCCTCTCCTTTCCAGCCCTTTCCTGCCTTTCACAGAGCCCAGTCCCTTCTACCTCCTCACTGTCCACTAGAACTGCCCATGCTTTCACTCTCTTGCTTCCAGCTCTCACCTCTGGTCTGAACCGCCTCGAAAACTTCTGATGGCTCCCCATGGTTTATCAAAGACACCATCTATTCTCCCCACATTCTCCCTCACTTCCTCTGTTATCCTCAATTCCTACCAAACACCCCCATGGGCATCCTGCCTCCACGCCTTTGATTCAGGTCCATCCTCCTGTTTTCCCAAATCCCTTTTTTTCCCACCCATCAAATGCCTGCTCATTATACACGTCCAAGTGTTGCTTCCTCCCCAGTGATTTCTACATCCTATAGGATTTAATTCTCTGCTTCCTCTAATTATAGCCCTTACCATAGTCCATCCGAAGGCAAATTGATTCTGTGATCCACTAGACTGGACAGCAAGTTACTTGAGGGCAGACACTCTGTCCTGGTCATCATTTCACTGTCTCCATGCGCAAGAGATTGCTGTGTATGCAGTTGGTGCTCATTACATACTTGCCAGTGAACACTCACTTTTCATGGCTGGAGGGAAGCTCATGATTCTGATTTGGCCTTAGGTGACCAAGGTTATCTTCCCTCTTGCCTTGGGAACTTCCTCTGGGAACACCAAGGGAGGTGAGAGGGATTAGCCTTCCCATACCTCCCTGCAGATGGGGAAGGAGCGGCTGTGGACATTCTGTCAACTTTGAGACCAGCAGCCATGAGTTGATGTACACGGGTTTTATAGGCATGGGCTATGTATTGAGGTAGCTCTAAATCTCAGCCCACTGCTCCTTAGCTGTGGGACTTGAGGCATATTACTTGATCTCTGAGTCTCGGTTTTCTCATTTATAATTTGAGATTAATATGGTACTGATTGCCTAGAGATATTGTAAGGATTAAACATGATTATGTATATATACTGCTTAGCACAAGGAAAATGTTCACTGAATGTTAATGATAATAAGAGTTTCTCTCCTGCGGTCTGAGGCTGCTGGTGAGACAGTGCAGGGCAGCCTACACTCCAGGCCTGGTCCATAGGGCTTCTCCAGAGCAAAGTTCAGAAGAAAGTGCATTGTCATGACTGACTTGGCTCCAGCTGGGCAGTGTGTGGGTGCTTCCTGCAGGTAGAGGCAAGA